TGATAGATGACGTCAGCAGTCACAAAAATTACTATATTACTTATTGTCACAAATATTTATAGTCACAAATATTTATAGTCACAAACGCGCGTAGCGCGTTATTGACCCTTCGGGTCAATTGTGACTATAAATATTTGTGACAATAAGTAATATAGTAAATTTTTTGTGACTGCTGACGTCATCAAATACAGTTTAATCAATGTATAATGGATTAATGATATTGTGAGTGTATGTATTGATAATGGGAGTTTACGACCCTTTTAGCATTAAAAATCTTTTTTAATCATAATCAGGTTCAGTCATCCCATTCACTGTGTTACTGTGATCCTCTTCACCTTATGATTACGACTAAAACGATTATTTAATTTCTTACGGGTCTATACATCATTTTAATACAGGATATCATTATCCATCATATATTATGTATCAAACAAGATTCAGCTGTTTAAACTTGAATTTAGATTCAACTGAGTTATTGAAATAAATGAGACGTACAAGAAGAGCCACGACTACTAGACCTACTTCAACTAGAAGAAATTTAAGAAGTACTATGGCTGGGAATTTAAAAGCTGCTTTTCAACAAAGAGATTCAACTCAAGTAGTGTTGAATGCTACTGAAACAGTACAATTAGCTATTCCAGCAAATACTAATGGTGCTACAACTGTAATGAATGTTACTAAATTACTTTGCGGCATGGAATTCTTCCAATATTATGCTGGAATGTATGATCAATTTAAAATAGATGGAGTGTCAGTGTCAGCTGAAATTGTTTACAATACATTTGGTCAAGCTGCAATGACATTTCCTAATGTTATTACTGCATGGGATAGAAATGGTATAGATAAAGCAGTAGCAAGTCAAGTAACACAAGAAGGACAAGGTGTATTAAGTAATGTACCAATAGTACCAGGTCCTTATCAAGTGAGTTCATATTCAAGTGCAGTAAGTAGAGCATATTATCCAGGAGCTAGATGGGGTATTACAAGAAGATCTTTTGCATCTTCATTACAGGAGAAGAGTATTTATCTTCCAACAGTAAAGACTGCTGAAGTATTAACTGAATCTACTTTATATGCAGCATGGAATCCTGATTTCTTACTTTCTGTTCTTTTAGGAAATCAAACAGCTACATGTCAAACACTTGTATTTAATTTAACATGGTCATGGGTTGTTTCACTTAGAGGATTGAGAAAAAGTACACTTGATGTTATTCCAACACCTGCTGCTAATTCACTTGGTTATGCTAATACTAATGCTGGAACAGTTGCATCAGGTACAAATAATGCAATGATTCCTGTTAGTATGACTACAACTAACCAAGGAGGAGTTGTTACTACAGATAATCCAATTTATACATCAATGGTACAAACAACGGGTGGACAACTATCAGGTTCATCTAATACATGGACAGTTGATTCATTTAAGATGTATTTGAATAATGTATTTTATAATGCAGGAATTTCACAAGTTAATGCTATAGATTTGAATTTTGATCAATTTGGTATATTACAACCATCTACCGCTGATGGAAGTTTAACTATTAGAGGAGGTAGTACAAGTGTTATGAGAGTACGTTTAGTTGTATTTGCTACTGCTGGTACTCTTGGTTCTGGAGTAAACGGATATAATATATCTGCTTATTTATTAGGTAATGCTAATACTAATGCACATACTGTTAATATTGCTACTGATGCTAGTACTTATGTTATTGCAAGTAATGAATTTGATATATTTGGAATTAACTTACCTAATATTTCTACTGGTGGTAATTCAGAAGTTAAAATTAATGTTAAAACTACTACTGGTTCATCAACTGATGTAATTGGATCTCTTTTATATGCTTATAGTGAAACAATTGTGGATAATGCAGTTACTATTGCTTCAGGTGCATTACCAGTTGTTGCTGGAACAGTTGGAGGTGGAGTATTGAATCCAGTTGTACTTGTTAGTAAAACATTTGTTACTGGATTGTTTTCAAATGATAACCAAAAACTTATTAGTGCTTAAATTAATTGAATTATTGTATTGGGAAGTTTTCTGAAAGTAGAGATGAGTTCAATGACATTTTAAAGTTTGCATTACTTTTTTCAGAACCAATATTTACTGAATCATAACTAATTAGTTCAATTGCTTCTTCTGCAGTTGTTCCTTTACAAAAACGAAAAATACCAGTATTCGGACTTTCTGTATTTAATTTCAATATATAATATATTAAATAATTGTATATAATAAATTCTTTTTCTATTTCCATTTCATATATAAATAAACCATCACTATTAGTAAGTGTAAATAATATAAATTGACAATTTTCTTTTTTTGTAATTTTTATGTATTTATTACCAGTTGAGGTAGTTACTACTTTATGTAAATTTCCATCTGCTGGTATTAAGTCTGTAATATCAGTGTCTTCTGTAATATTTATTATTTCTGTTGCTACTGTTGCTAATGTTGTAGCACCGGTTTGATATACTGATATAGAATCTATTTTATATTGTGGTACATTTGCAGTGACATAGACATGATCAAGTACATCAAGGTTATCATCTGGACTGATAGTGTATGAACCATTTTCAGTAATAGTAACTGCTTTTGTTTGGATTTTTGGTTCAGGTACTTGAGTGATTAATTGAATACTGTTAATATAATTTTCACTGGTGAATGTTGTTGTTCCATTTGTAGTTGTTTCGATAGTTACATCATCTGTATTTACTGTTACTTTGAATGTATTTTTATTTAATTCATCTTTTTTTATTAAAGTTTCTTGTTTTGTTGTCTTGTTAATGATAGACATGAATGATAAAAAAGAGTTAATTAATATAATTGTTTATCTTTTATAATTAAAATAAATGTAGATTCTTCTTTTTCAGGAAATGCTATAGTTACTTTTTCATATGCTGAATTATTTTCTGCTTGATATGTAAGTGTTTCTCTTTGTTTGATTTCTTCATTAGTTAAATTGACATTTAAATCAAGTAAATCTAATGGTGGTTCTCCTTCATTTTCTTTTAATTCAGTTGGTGTAATAATGTATCTATCAAAATGAACAGTGATATACCATTGACAATTAAATTTAATACTTTTATTATCATTGTTATTTGGTGTTTCTATTCCTATGAAGTACCATGGATAAAAAGGAATACTTACATTTTCATTTGTAAATGGTTGAAGTTCAGGTGAATCATATTTCCAATATCCTTCTACTCTAGTAGGTCCATAATAGTTTTGTTCTTGTAATGTCATAGCTTTAATAATACTATTAATTTGAAATGCTCCACCTGGATAATAGACTTGTTGTTGTAAATGAGTACTTGAATTAATCATATTAATTACTTTATTTATATCTTTGTCATCAGCAGTGTCTTGATCAATATTGGAACGAATATATGTTGGAAACCATGTAGTACTAACAATAGGAAAATTTAATCCTATTTCTTCTACATTTATTTCACCTATTGAGAGACTAATCAATGCTTTAAATATTTTAACTCTTTTAAAACAATTACAGAATGATTTATAATTAGTGTTATTGAAGAGTAAATCAAAAAGAGAAGTTGTATATACACCCATTCCTTTATTTAATATAATTTCAATAGGGGTATTAAAAACAAATTCTACTTCATGTGTATTATTAGGACAGTTATTTCTAGAACGGATCATTTGAATATAAAGATGAACTGAATAATTCATAATATGAGTGCAGACTCCAGTGATTCTAATCACTCGTCTAAATGTACAGAAGAAGTGTTTAAAGAAAGTACATGGAATATTATCCGTAAAATAGTCATGCTTCTATTATCATGTATATTATTAATAGCTAGTTGTTTCTTTGCATTTTTTGAAAGTAGAAGACAGGGGAATGTTATGAATGCAGTAGAAGAAGTATTAGAAGTAGTAAAAACTTTAATTCCTAATTAACTTTTTATTTTAATGTGTTTGGTTAAGAAGAGAAAACAACGATTAAATCTTCATAAAAGAAGATATGGATCATATGGATCTATACGATTTAATTATGATGGAATACGAAGAAGTACTCAACAGAAATATCATCCTTTTAGTATTTCTAACAGAACTAATCCACTAAGTATTCGTCCTTTTGATAATTCTAGGAGAGTTGATAGTTCAAAATATAAACCATTTAGTACTTCTAAGTATGATGGTGGGAAAATATTTGATAAAGAAAAAATAAAGAAGTATATTCCATCTTTACCAAATGTAAAGAAAGTAATTGATTCTGAAGATTTACAAAGTAAAGTAAAAGGTGTTATTGATGTAGTTGATAATTTTATTGAAGAGAAGAAACCAGTAACAATTATTAAAGATTTTATAAAAGATAAATTTTGGGAAATGACAGATGGTAAGAGTCTTTTTGATCCATCTGCTCGTTTAGATGTTTCATTGATTCGAGGGATTGTTGATGGATATAAAAAATATGGTTCGAGATATTTTACTGATATTGCAAAAGCTTTTGGTGTTTCTTCCATTTTTAATATTAAAGAATTCAAAGAGTTTAATGAGGCAATAAAAGGAAACAATTTATATAAATATTTGGAAAAGAGATACAAACAAGGAGATTTATTTGAGAAGAATACTGCACTTGAATTAATTAAGATGGCAATTCAGAATAGACCTGAAATTGTTGATAAATATATTTCTACTATTTTTGGAGAGAAAGAATTAGCTTTGTATTATCTTACTCATCCTGAGGATATAAATTTGACATTACCCGTTTTGTATAAAGGAAAAGTTATTCGTGTTAATGGAAATTGTTTTAAAACAACACCAGAAGGGGAAAAATGTTTAGATTCATCAATTGTAGATCAAATGTCTGGTGTTCTTGCTCCTTTGGCTATACAAAAGTATTTGGATGCTATTAAACCGATTAGTGATATTGTTGTTGATAAATTAAATGATTTGACTAATCAACATAAATTAATGGATGATGATTTAGACCAATTGAATTTTAGTCAACAATATATTAGAAGTGTATTACCACCTGAATTATGGAAGAGAATCGAGAATGTAGCATTTGAACCAAATGTTATGAGAAGATATGAAAGTTTGCAATATATTCCAGTACCAGAAGCTATTAGTACACATTCTTCTGATGATTATTATCATAAAATTCATATTGGTGCAAGAACAAATAGAAGTGATAATAAAGGTACTATCTTTAAACCATCTGATTTTGAAAGAAGAGGATTACATCAATATTTATATAAACAACCTCATTTTAATAAAGTACAAAGCGGACAAGATAGATTTGAAGTAATGAAGAATGTTTATAAACAATTAAAACAATGGGGAATAAGTGATAAACGTGCTGATTATGAAAAGGTATTACTTAGAGTATCACCTGATGATGATAAAATTAATCATTTTAAAACAATAAATGGAAAAATTAAATTTTATAATAAATAATCAATTATCTTCTTTCTTTGGTTTAGTTTCTTCTTCTTTCTTTTTATCTTTTAATACAAATTTAGTTTTGTATTCTTTCTTTGGTACTTCTGGTGTCTTTACTTTTTTAATCTGTGGCTTATTCCACATTAAGCCTTTCTTATTGGCTATTCTATAGACGAGAGACCAGTATGGCTTTTTTAATGCCACTTTTTCTTCTGTGGATGTCTCATCATCGATTATGTACATTAACTTATTCATTGTTTCTATCAGTTCTTCATCGCCCATTTCTTTGTATTTTCCTAAGGCGAAATCAGCAATGATGTCTTTAATGCTTGTAGTCATGGTATGATTAAACAGTTCAAAATAAATAGTTTAAATACTCAATTTATCTCTTTTCGGAGTACAATTCTAGAACTCATACTCGTACTCATATTCTATTTCTGGTTCTTCTACTTCTTCTATATCTTCTTCTATTTCTTCTTCATCTTCATTCAATTCGATGTTTTCGTCATTATGTTTAAAGTTATTCCAATATTTTTGTTGATCTTGTATTGTTAACTCTTTTGGAATGTCTTCAACTCTTAAATCTTCTTCTTCTTGTTCTATTATTGGTTTAATTTGTTCTGGTAGAATATTTTTGGAATCATTTTCTTCTTTCTTTTGTGTTGGTTTATAATTGAGTGATATGTCTTTAGCAAGTAATCTATATCTTTTTTCCAATTCATCAACTTCATGTTTTCTGTTTTTAACGTCACCGAAGAGTTCTTTATAATTAAATTTAGAATCAATCTTCTTAACTTCTTTGAGTTTTCGTTCTTTCTTAACAATAACTGGTTTTTTAATTCTTTTTTCTTCTTTCTCTTCTCTTTTTTCTTGCATTTTTTCATTTGGTAATGAATTATTCATTGTTTCATCATTTTGAACTTCTTCTTTTTCGTTCAATGCTTCATTTTGTGGAATTTCTATTTTTGTTTCATTTATTGCTTCTTCTCTTTCTTCTTTTTCTTCTAAAGGTAAGAACTGTTGTAATTCTTCTATTTTTATTCCTCGTTCAAAATCTCTCTTTTCTTGATATTCATTAGTATCTTCTAAATGATGTTTTCTTTTGGAATTATCTCTATTTTTATCTATCCATTGTTTGATAGTATTTCTATTCTCTCTTGGTGGTCTAGGTAGTATAATATTTCTATCTGGTTCTTTTTCATCTTTATGTATTTCTATTTCTTCTTCCATTGCTTTATCTTTTATTTCTTCAAGTAGTTGTGGTATTTTATCTTCTTCTACATTATCTGCTAGTATTATATCATTATTTTCATTTGTTAATATTAATGGTATAGTAGTATCTTCTACATTATTATTCTCTTGTTCTATTTTATTATTGTTTTCTATTATTTCTTGTTGAATTATAGCTAATTCATTTCCTAATTGTTGTGGATCATTAATATCAATTATATCTTCTAATATTTTGAGTGTATTGTTATCATATGTAAGTATTTCTTCTGGTTTATTTGGATTTACTATTTCATATATATTTGTATTGTTATCTTCATCATTACTATTCTCTTCTTCTCCTTCTTTAATTGAGTCTTCATTAATATTCATTTCTTTAGTATATTCTTCATAATCTGGATCATCAAATATTGATTCTTCTGTCTTACTAAATTCTTCATTAATCAAGTCTGGTTTATTTACTCTTTCTGGTTCATTGTCTGGATCAAAGTAATTATTTGATTGATAACTATCTGGATGTAAATCTACATCATCTTCTTCAAAATATTCATCTTCTCCATTGTCTGGATCATAAGTAGTATTTAAACCATTGTTAAATGAATAATCATCATAATTATCATAGTATTGATTGTTATGAATATTTCCATAACTTCCCCATTTTCGTTTTAATACATTTGGTCTATACCAATAACTCATTATTAAAATAAAAATAAAAGATAAACCAAAAATTAGTTAATTAAAATTTCCACCTAACCACCTATTTGCTAGTTCTCTAGCTTGTTGAGTTAATTCAACGTCTGGTTCTTTAGGTGGTACTAATGGTGTATCATTCTCTTTTAATAGAGATAATATTAAAGACTTGTTTTTCTCTCTGTTTTCTTCTACTGACATTGGCTCTTCAAGTGTTACAGGAGGAGGCATGCTTTCTTCTTCCAATTCTTCTATTATATCATTTAAATCATCTATTGTGTTATCTCCCATATCATCTAAACTAACATCTTCTTCAACTTCATTCTCCAAAAGCATTTCTACTAGTTTTGGATCTAATCCATCATATTTACTTTTATCCCGTACTGCTTCTTCCTTAGGTGGTGGTTCAATGTACAATTTTTCTTTTGTCTGGAGCACTACTGTGTTTTTCTCTAACCAATCGAAGTCTTCAAACTCCTTGGCTGTTTGTTGCAAAGCTTTCCAACTACCTGGATTAAGTACTAAAATAGTCGGAATTGATGTAACTCTGGCGTGAGAGTACTTTACATTTATGGTTATCTGTTCTCCTCTGGTACTTATTAAAGATTTAAATTCCGGCCAAATGATGTCATTTAAATTGGCATCATCAAATAGACGGATATCATATTTCAAGTTTTCATTATGACCATCCATCATAAATCTACCTCGGAATTCATCTACTTTAAGATCTTTAAGTAAATCATTTATAAATTCAGTCTTACCCATTTTGGTATCACTAACTATTACTAGTGTTTTAATTCTTTTGCTCTTTCCACTCAATGCTGAATTCAACCATATTCTACTGTTTTTGACTACTGGATTATTTTCTTTCCAAGGTTGAAGTTTGATTCTTATTCTGTTATAATTATCTCTACTGTGTTCTTGGTTCCACAAAGAATCAAATTTTTGTCCAATATTCATAAATCCCTTTACACTTATTCCTTTCAAGTAAGCATGTGCCTCTTCTAAGTCTGGCATCTTTAAAGCTCTACCCAAATCGATGTCACCTAATCTTCCTCTGTTGTTTTCCATTTTGCCGATTTCTTCAAATATGGCTCCACTTTCTGGATGTTTTTCTCCTTGTTTCTTTAAGTAATCAATAATTGTTTTGAAACTTCCATCGTAGTTTTCGTTCTCTGTAATCTTTTCAAATTTCATAAAATGCTGTTCCTTGTTTAATTGTGTAAATGGTCTCTTTCTTACGTGACTTACATCTTCCAATTCAAAGAAGGCATGAACATGTCTATTAGGTCCTTTTGTTGTTTTACTCAGTGCTAAATATTTTATTTGAGCCCTTTTACTTCTAGTAGTACACCACTGTTCAATCATATTTTTAATTGTTTCTTTTGAAGGGATTGGAGTATTATTTTTTAAATTGATAGTGACATAGCCGTGCATGGCTTTGAATTCATAGTATTTTTTTTTGAGGTTCTGACATGTTGTTGGATGATTTGATAGTAACGAGTTGAACTATTTATTACCCTTGGAATTTTTCTATTTTGTCTGTTTATTGACTGTATGAGGTAATGTATGAGGTAGAAAATGATTTTTAAACTATAAAGAATAATAAAGTTATAATTCAATTAATTTATAAATGCCTCTTTAAGTGTCTGTTTGTTGTGTTGTTTACACGTTTCATTTGTTATTTAAACTGGAATACTTTTTATTTTATTCGATGTTCCCTCTCTTATCTTCTATTGTGCAAGATATCGACGAAACCTGTAAAGGTCTCCTCGAGAGTGATGGTTTAGATTTGGAATCTAAGTGTCTAATCTATTCCATCCTCTATTTTATGAGGAGGTTCGAGGAGACTCACTATAATTATAGTGATGTTTTATTTTATTACCTTACAGGTTTCGTCGATTCTTGCACTAAGGATCAGCGATTTAATAAACTAGGAGGTTTATTAGAGTTATTAGAGAATTTCCATTTCAATAATGATTTGGAATAATAGTTAATTTACTATTTTTTATTTTATTTATTTTTAATTAATAAACAAAATAATATTAAAAAGAATTAAATTAAATTAATTTTAATTATCTTTAGGAGCTCTTGGCTTCTTTGATAATTCTTTGGATATCTCCACTCTTCTTCTTCTTTGTCTTTCTATTGCTCTAATTCTGAAGGCATCCAAAATATCTTTATACTTCGTTTTAATATCAGAAGACATTTCAAATAGAGCTTCGACTAATTCACTCTCCTCTTCTAATAGCATATTAAATTTATCTTCTTCTAAATAGTATATTTGCTCTTTCTTGTAACATTCAACAAGATCATCGCAGACGTCTTCTAATTCATCCAATGCGATAAAATAATCTTTTAAATCTTGAATATTAATATTTTCTATTTCAATTGTTTCTACTCTGTCTTCGCTATCCATTGTTTGGTATGGTATTCTTATTTCTTAAATAGTTTAAATATTTAGATGAAACAGACATTCAGACAGTTGGAGAGACAAAACAGACATTTTCTATTTTTATTATATTATATTTTTATTATAAGTATAGTATAAAAGTCAATCATCACCTCATATGCTACCTCATATCAGCCATTTAATTTGTTATTTAAACAGCAATAATATTTTAGCATTCAATGTCTTTTGGTGGTACTTTTAGAAGGACACGTCTTTCTGTACTACTCTCGGCTATTGCCAGGGAAGTAAAGTCCCAACTTAGTCGAGCCAAAGATACTAATACTGAAATAGTATTATATGGTTTAATTTATTGGTTCCGAGTTTGGGATCATAAGTACCATTTAAAGTACTCGGACCAAATGAATAAATGGCTCGACTACATAATGGTGGATATTTATTCCACTGTTATGGATTGTGGTCCTCTTTTATTCCTGCTTAATACACTTTATTCTGGCAGGTATATTCCTGATATTGATCATTTTAATTGAATGCTTTTTATTCCTTTATTGTTTTTATTGCTTATTGTTTAAATAACAAATTGTTTTATTTTTAAAATTTTGAATAACAAAAATAAATAACAAAATTTTAAAATTAATTAAATTAAATTAGACTAGAGAGGTCTAGTCTTTCTTCTCTCTGGTTTGGTCTCTTCTTGTTTCTTCTTCTCTGCTTCATCAATTCGCTTCTCTCTTTCTTCTCTTTCTTTTTCTTCTTTCAATTCGGAGAGAATAAGTCTGTTATTCTTTTTGAAATCCTCTATGATCTCGTATATTTCATCTATAATTTCTATATGCTTTAAAATAACCAAATTGAAGCACTTTAATGGGCTATTTCCAAATGTTAAACGTGTTCCCCCGCTTAGTATATGACACTTTTCACTAATACCGTTAATGCCGCTTAATAAATCTATAAAATCGTTGATTGTAATATTTCTTTTATCGATTACCGTATCACTGTCACTGTTGAATCTAACTCTCGTGGTGTTTGTAGTGCCATACATCGCTTGATCTAATGACCATATCTAGATGGTAGGGTCATTAAATATTAGTATAGTATTATTCTTAATAGTTGATTTAACTATTCTTTGGACTTGTTCCACTCAAGGTGTTCATTACGAATGAAATCCCGTTTTCATACGTGAAACACCTATAAATATTTGGGACAATAAGTAATGACCTCATATCAAGTATAATAATAAATAGTATTTTTACTATTAATTATTTACTATAAATTGTGATTGCCACGTCAGCAGTCACAAAAAATTTACTATATTACTTATTGTCACAAATATTTATAGTCACAATTGACCCGAAGGGTCAATAACGCGCTACGCGCGTTTGTGACTATAAATATTTGTGACTATAAATATTTGTGACAATAAGTAATATAGTAATTTTTGTGACTGCTGACGTCATCTATCACAATGGGTTATAAACCATTTATATTTAAAGATTTCAGTGTTTTTAATCTCCTTACTAACTCTTTGTGAATTAATCAATTTATTGTTAATATAACATGTATTATTTCTCTATTATTTCTTAATTTCTTTTGTAAATTATATTTATGAGGATTACTAAAATCAATTGAATCAAATTCATTAAAATATGTAATTAATATGTTTATATATTTTTAATATTTATGTTTTGATATTATTTAAATGGGGTACGAAAATAAGCAAAGAAAAAATGCGTCTAAATAATTTACAAAAAAGAAAAAAGATGCAAAAAAATTTGCATAATTAGAATTTTCCATTTATTATATTTTACTCATAAAATAAAAATAAAAAAATAAAAAGTATGATAAATACAGAATATATAAATATTTATGTTTATATTTTATAATCATTTGTATTCTGTATGAAATATTAATGAAGGAGATTATTTGATTATTCATATTTAATTATTTTTATTCTTTTTATTCTTTTCTTTATATGTTATTTATCTATCGTATTTTTATATTTATTTCTCTGTTTATATTATTTATATCATTGTATTCTTCTTATTATCTATATATTATTATATTTTTCTTATTTTATTATTTATGTTTATATTATTTAGATTTTCTTCTTGTTATTCTTTTATATTTAAATGTATTTTATTATTTGTTTATTCATCTTATTCATCTTTTATATTATTATCATTTATATCTATTTTCATTTTATATTTATTCTCTTTTGATTTATATTAATATTGATTTTATCTTTTATACTTTTTATTTATTATTATATCATTTATTATCATTTCTCGTTTTATTTATCATTTATTCTTATTATTCTTTTGTTTTATATTGTATATCATATATTCATATCATTTTCATTTATATTTTATCACTTATTATATGTTATAATAGCATAACACATATGATTGATCATATAATAAACATCATGATGCAGAAATAAAAATAAATAATGGACATAAAAAAGAGTAAGATATTTTTCAATAATAAAATAATAGTTAATCATTTTAC